GAGTTAAAAACGTGCAAAAATACCGCTGAAGGATTTAAAAATAAAACATAAAGTAGAAAAATAAAAAATCAAGCATAAATCTCGAGGACGGTTAGTTTCTGTCAGCAGTTTCATGTCAGGTAACACACACCCAAACATACGACACGAAACGTGATGACATCTGACTCTGTGACTCATTCACAGCATCTGGAGAAGAAGCTACAATCAAACTTCCTGTTATTGCGGTTACGTTCGTTTCATCCAGAGGAAACACAACGAGTTTGTGTTTCATTCTTTCACCTGATCGCGACTGTGAAACGGAGAGTATCATAAAAGTAAAAGTAGTCATTACTTAAGTACTGTACTCGGTTCTAAGGTACTTGTAGTTTACTTTCATTTTCTGCTAATTGAACGTGATGGACACGTAATCTACACACAGTTATTAGCTAATCAAAAACATTATTCTGAAACTTGTCTCATTTTAATACTTGTGCCAGTAGATTACTTTGAGTGTTATTCAACCCCACTGGATGAAAGTACTTACTTAATATACTAAGTTTACTTATGAAGTTTTAATTAACTTTTAATTTATTTAAACAGATCTATCTTTGTTTTATTTCTGTTCTCCTCTGTACTTCTACTACTTCGGATGGAAATATTGCACTTTGCACTTCGTACCTTTTATTTAAAATCTTTGTTTATTGTTTTGGAAATTTCAAAATAAAAGTTTTTTTGTTTAATTATCAAAGAAAGTATCAGCAGTATCCAAGCAGTTAAAAAAAAAACCAAAAAACGTGATAAATACAAAAATTAGTCATTTTTTATGAGTTTACATAATGACTTTTACTTTACTTGTGCCATTATTTACGACTTTTACTTCAGTAAAGAGTCTAAATACTTGTTTTATCACTTAAAACAGATAATCAGTATAAAATATTTGTGCAACATAATTTTTCATGTAAAATATCCATAATTAAGGCAAATGGTTTTAAATGAGCCCAGCAATTTTTCTGAACCAATTTTCTACACTTTATTTATTTTTACACTTCACTTCAACTCCATTGCAAGACAAAAAATCCTGTTAATACCATTTTGCCTAAATGAAAGTGTAAAGCCTGCTGTTTGTTCTAACATACTGTCTGTCACTTTAATCTGTAAACGACAGTATATAACTGCTTTGTGATTTTATTGGGAAAATACATGATTTCATATTTTATTTTAAAAATCTCATAGTGCAGTGAAAGTATTTCAAATTAAGTGCAATTAGAGAAACAAAACTTTAAAAACATCAACAAATGAAATGTACATTTTGAGTGAAGCATTATTGTTATTATCTCACTTTCATATACCCAATTTGATTTTTCTGTTTATTATTTTATTAATACAGCTTTCTTCAGTTGTTATTGTGCAAGAATCATTTATACTGTGCATACTATAAACATATACATATATATACAGCAG